TCAAGACTGGCCTAGTGCAGGCTGTCATCTTTCACCTGGACAGTGGGCACAGCCTCCTCAATGCCTCCCTATCTCCACTCTGGCTGTTCTCAATTCATTCTTCACACAGTGGCCAGAGTGACCTTTCCAAAATGCATGTCTGACTACATTACTCTTCCACTTAAAACCCATTATCATCTCAGAATCAAGTTCATCTCCAGGCTTTTCACAGTATCGATCTTGTTATCCAGCATATTCTCTCCCCACCATCCCCTCAATAAAGAATACTAGTCTCATGAAGCTTATTTCAAGGCCCCGAACACAGCAAGCTCTCTCTTGCCCATTTCTTCTGAGCTCAAGCTCATTTCCTAGCTATTGCTTACCCAATCTCAGGTTTCTTTCTAAACATCGCTTCCTTCAGAAGACGGCTTCTCTGACCCCTCCACGTCTTGGCTGTTCGCCGACCCTTGGGCTTCCCATCCAGCATTTACGCGAGGGGCAGCAGTTGTCTCCTGTCTATCCCTACCCACCAGACTGTTTGCCCATGGAAGGCAAGCACGTGGCTACTGCTGTACCCCAGGCCCCAGCACAGCATGAGGCACATGAATGTGCTCAGATCAATAAATGAGCTAATGAAGCTGTTATCCAACGCCCTCATTTTATGCCTTACAATTAATATCTTCTGGGGGCAGGGAGGAAATAACTCACATGGTCTTTTACAATGAAATGATGTTAATGTGTTTTTCCTTGAAAATTTCCTTTTCCTGAAATTCAAATCTAAAGTCTGGGAACAGGAATATAGGGTCAATGGTCAATGGCATGGCATGGGAGCAGAAGGCAGCCACAAAGGGTACCCAAAAGGTGCTCTGTTCTAAACACTGTAGGAAGCAGCACCCTTTATATCTTGGAGGGTAGCAAACTGTCTGTCTGACTCTCTGCCAACAAGTTCCCAATAGGGATTTCTGCCTCTTACAACTAACAAAGGGAGTCACCTTCATGTCTCTCAGTGAATTTACAAGATAACAGAGTTGTTTTTAAGGTAAGACTCAAAATAAAAAGAAACCAACTTACCTAAAAGAATCTGGGATACAATGTTATTCAGGTGATGGTTACCCTAAAAGCCTTGACTTGACCACTACACAATCTATGCACGTAATAAAATTGCATGTGTAATCCATAAATTTACACAAATTTAAAATACTTTTAAAATAATAATTTGACAAAAGAGAAAAAAGAATCTAGGATGCCTTCAAATACTCTTTAGATGATTGTTTTTCTGTAGTAGAGGTACAAACAAGGTAAGATGCTGTTTCTACAGCCTCATGGGAGGAGACTTATATGGGAAATTATCTTTTTTATAATAAAAAAATTCTTATTTATGTAATGTACAATATAGGTAATAATGATGGACTAAATTATTTTAAATTACCCCAGCTTAATATTTAAACTTCCAGAGTAAACCGGCTCCCTTCCCCTCTGTTCCTCTCTCCTTTTCCATCTCTTTCCCTCCTCTTCAATCTCTTTTCCTCCTCTTCCATCTCTTTCCTCCTCTCCTTTCTCCTCTACTCCCTTCCTTTCTCTCCTTCCTTCTTGTTCTTCCTATAGTCAGCTTCCTATACTTTTTGGAAACCTCTCCCTTAAGGATTTCACACTAAAGAAGCAAAAAAAGTCTACCTCTGGTCCCAGCTCTTCCTAAGGACCCTTCCAACTTTGGAATTTCTTGACTCCAACTCACTGCTTAGACCCTTATCCTGGGCCTCTCAAATAATAACTAGATTTCTCTGTCAAAAGACTCTGACTATACTGCCACAAAGTCATCAATCCATTGGAAGAGGTTTTCCTTTAAATTCTGTCAAGATTATATTTTCTCCATGGGTCAATTAATATAAAGAGGTTAATAAAGTTCCACAGAGATAAACATTAGCTGTAACTAAAGTCTGCATTCACTGGTGAATCGATTTATTTACACAATGCCTTATTCTCAATGGAGTTTATGTGCTAGGTTCTATGCAAGGACTCCAATGTCCAAGTCTTAGTCCAATAGAACCTACTGTACATAAGTAACTGCAGTACAAAGGAGGCAGTGGCCAATACCCTGATAAATAAAGAAATACAGTGCTAGGGGTTTCTGACATGGATTTCAAAAAGCTCTCTAGCAAAGCTAAGCATCCACAGTAAAATACTTGCCTTTCTTTGTATTATCCAGTTTGGCTGCCGCATTAGCCAGAGTTCATTGGGTAATTGCACAATCCCTTGTGAGGCTTTTATCTTAAAGCCTTACCCTTGGGGAACTAGAGTGCCTCAGATATCTGGTGCATAGAGCAAACTATAGAAAAGCAGAAAGGATCCTTGATTCTGGAGTACACAGGAAATCTTAATGATGCCCAAAGTAACCATTATGTATTCATGTACACAGCAATGAGTAGTACACTGAAAAAATATATCATCTTTCCTCCAAAACGGAGGCTGCTCATGTGATCCCAGGTGGATGGGAGGCAGAGTGATATAATGAATGAAACCATGTGCTTTTGAGTTAAAAGGGTCCTGGGTTTAAGTTTCAACTCTGCCTTTTAGTCTCTTTTATTACTGCAGCCCTCTGAGCTTCAAACTCTCCTCTGCCAAAGGAGCACTGGAGTGAGTACTGATGAAAAAAAAATGGATGTGAAGTGATTAACTTGGTGCCCAACACACACGAAGAATTCAGTCAGTACTAGCTGACAATCACAATAAAATTTGTGACAATAATGTACAAAACTCAGAGAATTAAATAGCAGCCTTCTTTACGGCCAAGTAAAAGATGGGGCCATTTCATCCGGAGAAGAGCCAACCAGAAAGACATGAACAATTCTATTTACTTTCCTTTATTTTTATTACACAAGTAGTACATGTTCATGGTAAAGAAAAATTACAATGTAATACAAGCTGAAATAAACTTAAATTATGAACTTTACCACCAACCAGACATATCTAAAATTTCACATATATGCTTTTTTTCATCTTTCTTGAAATATATGAAAATATTTTTAAACAAAAATAAGCGCATTTATAATACTGTTTTATATCTTGCTTTTTTCTTATTTCCATGCCATGATCACCTTTCTTTGCCAAATAACAACATCAATGTCATCATCTAACTGGCTACAGAATAACCAATTATATAAACATTATGAAATATGTTTAACCAATTTCCCACAATAGCTATTATTTAAGTTGTAAGAATGGACCATGTGCCCTGGGCTAAACCAGATTGGACCAGTTCTGGTTCCACCTGGAAAAGATCCTATGTTCTCTCGGTCTCATCTTTACCATCTTTAAAATAAGAATTACTCCAGTTCTTAAGGCTAGTATGTGGATCAAATGAACTGATGCATGTAAACGTGTTTTGTAAAGTACTATGTGAATGTTTACATTCATTAATGAAGGTACTAAACAGGTGTTCTCCACTGAGTCAAAACAAGAAGAAATTTGATTAACATGCTGTTGGTCTCGTTGGGATGATTCCTGGCCTGCAGCAGGCTAGGAGTGCAACAGCAAATGCTTCAATGTGGTTTAGGGGCTCTGGCTCTGTTTTCAGTCCCCAATGGGAGAAACCAGAACGCAGCCCTGGCATAAACTCTGTCCACTTTCCTCCTGAGGACATGAGGTCCAGAGAAGGTAAGTGCCATGTCTATGGGGCTCCTGAAAGCCAGAGTGAGCCACCTTCTGCCTCCAAATCCAATGCCATCGATCTTCACTGTGCCCACAGTGTGTTAGTGACTGGCCAGCTATTAAATGCCCACCTTGTGTTTAATCTTGAAGATTGCAAAAGAAAGGAAGCCTGGCTGCCTTGGCAGATTCTAGCAGATATGGGCGTGATTCAGGTACATTCAGAACATACGACAGCCTCAACTTCTCTAACTTTTAACCATCGAAGCACTGGAAACAAATCCACCTCTTTAAAACATTAGTAAATCGAAACACAAGTAGATTCTCATCTCAAGAGTTTATGTGGCTGAGGTAGATAGAAATTTCTAGAAGTCTTATGTTTCCCCCCAAATTATTCTATAATTTGCATTATGTATGTAGTGTTGAAAGGGAGATTTGATTGGATTGCCTGAAATTATACCTCCCTTTCTCCTAATACATATTACTCTCAGGTATATGTCAGAGACAGAAAAATATTTTGAATGACGTAGGTCATCTGTTTTTATGCCGACCACCTATTAGAATCACCTGAGAAGTTTCTGGAAAACAAGACAAAATACTGCAGATGACTTGCTGATCTCTAAAAGTTAAGCTTCAATTATTCTAGGGGTAATTTTCTAATCTCCTCAGAGTCAGGTGATTCTGGCTTGATGTGCAGCCAGAGTTGAGAAACACTGGTTAGGGTCCCAGTGGGGTAAGGAACAGATTATATGCTCATGATCTCACATACTCTTTCACTCTCATTGTGCCTCTAAGCAAAACCATTGAAACATATGTGCTCAGATTCAACTTCTTCTACCTCTAAAACAAGACCCTGAATGAAAAAAATATATCTTATATAATAAAAGGACCCAAACTATGAAAAATAGGATAACTGCTATACAGCTAAAAATGGAGGAAGTAAAGTTCCTCAATGCAATATTATGCAGCAGCTTTAATTTATGATTACAAAGAATTCACAGCAACATGGAAAAACCATAGACTGAAATGCAGGAAATGAATATAAACGTGTCCATAGTGCAGGGACGCAACTATGAAAACTAAAGTTATATGTGCATATACACATTCACAAACACGCACACACACACACACATACACACACACACACACGGAAAACCCCCAAAATATCAATAGAGGCTATCTTGGTGGAGAATTTGGCTTCCTTTAACATTTTTGTACTTTCACAGTATTTTTTAAACTACCATGTACATGATAGGAAAATAATATTTATAGTAGAACAAAACAAATTTACTTTTCAAAAATTACTCCTCTATTACGTGATCTTCAAGTCATGATTCTCAACACTGAATTAACAAAACAAAGATTAAAATGCCCACCTGAAGTTCTCTGTCTTTCAGCTGCCCTGGCTTCTGCTGCCTCTATCTCTTCTGCCTTTCTCCTCCAAGTAATTCGGATTGCTCATTTAAAAGAAAAGGGAAACAGCAAATTATATTTATGAACAGTGCCAACCAATAGCAAGAAAGTCAGGAAGTGTAGCAGGTCATCTGTGCTTTTTAGAAGCCAGTATAGATGTCAGTGCAAGATCTCTTCTCAAGAAGGGGGAAGATTTCCAGTTAAGGGCTACATCTAAAAAGAAGAAACCTAAAATTGCCCTGCCCCTCTAATGACTGGTTTTTGTCATTATCTTTCTCAAGAGAACAAGCGGATATAATGGGTTAGAGTCAGGGATTTTAAGTGGCTTTTAGTTCTCCTGAAAGGTTTCTGTTTCCATGGCAACAGAAATAGCAACACTGCCTTACACACACAGCACTTTAGATTTGTTTAAAGCACTTCCCTCACTCACTTATATTTTCAATTCACTTGCACTCCAGCAGAGACCTTATCCACTCTGCTGAAAATGTTCTGTCAGAGGTTACCAATAACCTTGTTGCTCACATAAAAAATCCTTTCTCAGTCCTCACCTTCCTTCCCGTCTTGTTTGCATAGTTGACCACTACCACTTTCCTGAAACTTCTTCCTTGTTTCTCTGACTTTCCTGGTTCTTTTTCTCCCCCTCAGATTGCTCTTCTTTGCCTCTCTTTCTGATGCCTCTTCTTCCATCCCTTTTCTACATGTGAGCTTTCCCCAGAGGTCTGTGTTCTGACTTCTTCCCTCCTTCTCTTGCTTTTATCTATCTGATGCACAATCATGGCCAAATTTAATGTGACCCAGATGGACCTTTTCTCTTCCCCTCTTAGTCCTGCATCCCCCCATCTACCCTGTCTAAACAGTGGCACCACAATAATTTAGTCCATCCATAAACCTAGAAGTCACTTTTAACTTCTCTCTTTCTTCCACCACCCACTTCTGAGCCAACAAGTTCCATTTGTTCTGCCCATAAAATATGTCCCAAATCCAACCATTGCTGACCTCCCCATCACTGTTCAAATCCTCATTTCCTGGATAGAAAGCTGCAGTAACATTAAGCAAGAAAAATACATAAAAGGGATCCAAATTGGAAATAAATAAGTAAAATTATATCTGTCTGCAAATGATAAAATTTTATACGTAGGAAAACCTGAAGATTCCATACACACACACACACACACACACACACAAAACCCCAATAGAACTAATAAGCAAATTCAGCAAAGTTGCAGGATAGGAAATCAATACACAAAAATCAGTTGCATTTATATATACTAACAATAAACAACCAAAAATGGAAACTAAGGAAACGATTCCATTTAGAATAGCATCAAAACGAATAAAATACTTTGGATATATACTCAGTAGTAGGGTTACTGAATCTTGTTGAGATCTCTGCACTCTCATGTTTACTGTAGCACTATTCACAATAGCCAAAATATGGATCACCCTAAATGTTCATCAACAGAAAGATGGATGAAAAATGTATATATTCACAATTGAATACTATTTATTGATTTAAAAAGAACAAAATTTTGTCATTTGTGGCAACATGGATGAGCTTGGAAGACATTATGTTAAGTGAAGTAAGCCAGGCATAGTAAGATAAATACTGCATGTTCTCATATGTGGAAGCTAAAAAAGTTGACCTGATAGAAGTAGAGAGTAGAATAGTGGTTACTAGAGGCTGGGAAGGGGAGGAGGCAGGGAGAGATAGACAGAGGTTGATTAATGGACACAAAAGTTGATCAGTGGACATCTAGATAAGAGGAATGTGTTCTAGTGTTCTACAGCACTGTAGAGTGACTGAAATAAACAACAATTTATTGTATATTTTCAAGTAGCTAGAAGAGCAAATTGTGAATGTTTTCAAAAATAAATGCCAAATGTTTAAGGTGGGGAATATGCTAATTACCCTAATTATACAGAAGAGTTGGCAAAGCCTGCAGCTGCCCTTGTCCTCTTCCCACTCCCAGCTCCCTCCCACATATGAAGAGCTCCACACTTAGGCATGGGGAATTCTAGCCCTCACGTCCATGTCCCCTCTCCCCTCAAAACAGCTGCTCTTGGCCACCTGTAGGATGTAGGGCTACACAAACTGTATGCTCTGATGCAACTAGGGAAAAGGCCATAACCTTTGAGGACACTTGGCTGGGGAATTCTCAAGTATCTAGAGCACAATACAGACAAGGAAGTGTCCCTCAGCCCCCGAGACTCTCAGCCCCCTTGGAACAAGAAAGGGGTTGGATGAGGATCAGGGAGGACTCTAACCTGTCTCTGGTCCTCATTCAGCCCTTTCCTGTCGCAAGGGGTTGGGACCCCTCTGGTCCTCTCTGGTCTAAAGAATGGCACCAGGACAGTATGTTCTTATGCCTAAGTCTAGGAGTACTTAGGCCTTCATGCTCCAATCCCAGATCCCTTTCAGGTTCTACTCCTCTTGGTTGCTCTCCTGCTTTCTTCCCATGCTCCAGTCAAACTGAACTATTTGCTTATCCCTAAAAATAAAAAGCACTATTTTGGGGCCTGAGAGGAGCCCAGGATGGTAAACAAGGAGACTGGCTGCATTGGAAAGAGATTAGCAAATGCTTTCTTGAAAATAAACAAGGCAGGCTTTGTTTGTTTTGTTGCAGTTTGTTTGCTGGAACTGGAACAGACCTTAACAATCGTGGAGTCCAATCCCTTCATAACACCCATGAAGAAACAGAGGCGCAGACTTGTTGAGCAGCATGGTCATGGCACACAGCTAGTCAGTGTCACACCAGGCCTGGAACCCAGAGCAGGGCCTAGAGAGTTCCCTAACCATCTCCAACACTGCCCTACCTACCCTATTCTCCCTGTGCCTTCTTCTGCCTCATGGCCATGGGAAAGACAGGCCCTGGCTTTTGCTATCCCCTCACCCAAGGCCTCCTTCAACCCTGGAAACCACTGATTCTAGCACCCTTCCCCATCCCTTCCATGCCCCGATGCTAGCCTGGTGCCAAGAGCCAAACCTCACCCTATCTATAGCTCCTACAAGTGTCCAAATTCTTGAAACTTGGGGGAAATGAAAAGTAGGTCTTTCTGGAAAGCTCTGAACTGCTGCTGCGTGACAATGAAGAGGAAGAGGCCCTGGAGCCATTTCCTGCATGTCCCAGAGCTCTCCAGCAATGACCATCACCAGGACAATGTAGATCTTACCTTCACATTCCAGAACTGGGGGTGAGGGTGAGTAGTTTTCTGTGCAGCTTCTTCATGCAGCTGTGGAGAAGGGGCTGGGACCAAGGTTGCTCCTCTGAAGACAAGGTTCTTCCTGGGTCTGGGATTCTATTTCTAATATTTTATTTATCCCAATTAAAACTCACAGAATACAAATATTATATTACCATTCTCATTTTTAGGGGGCAAAAAGCTTGAAACAACATTTAATTCTACAAGCAATCACTATAGATATTCATTCTCCTCCAATAAAAGTCCAGTTGGCCGGGCACAGTGGCTCACGCCTGTAATCCCAGCACTTTGGGAGGCCAAGGTGGGCAGATCACGAGGTCAGGAGTTCAACACCAGCCTAGCCAATATGGTGAAACCCTGTCTCTACTAAAAATACAAAAATTAGCCAGGCATGGTGGCACACACCAGTAGTCCCAGCTACTTGGGAGGCTGAGGCAGGAAAATAGCTTGAACCCAGAAGGCAGAAGTTGCAGTGAGCCAAGATTACGCCATTGTACTCCAACCTGGGCAACAGAGCGAGACTCTGTCTCACCAAAAAAAAAAAAAAAAAAAAAGCCTAATTAATCGACTAATGTTCATCTCATTAAAATAAATACAGTGGGCTGGATGCAGTGGCTCACCCCTATAATCCTAGCACTTTGGGAGGCTGAGGCAGGAAGATCTCTTGGGTCCAGGACAGACTGAAAGCAGTCTGAGTGACACAGGGAGATCCCATCTCTAAAAAAAAAAATACAAAAATTAGCTGGGCATGGTGGCATGTGCCTATAGTCTCAGCTGCTCAGGAAGCTGAAGTGGAAGGATTGCTTGAGCTGGGGATGTTGTGGCTGCAGTGAGCTCGGATCACACTACTGCACTCCAGCCTGGGTGACAGAGCAAGACTGCCTCAGAAAAATAACAAGGCTGGGTGTGGTGGCTTACACCTAATCCCAGCACTTTGGTGGGCTGAGGCAGGCGGATCACGAGGTCAGGAGTTCAAGACCAGCCTGGCCAAGATGGTGAAACCCCGTCTCTACTAAAAATACAAAAATTAGCCAGACGTGGTGGCAGGTGCCTGTAATCCCAGCTACTTGGGAGGCTGAGGCAGGGAATTGCTTGAACTCAGGAGGCGGAGGTTGCAGTGAACTGAGATCATGCCACTGCACTCCAGCCTGGGCGACAGAGTGAGACTCTGTCTCAAAAAAAGAAAAAGAAAAAAATTAAAATTAAATAAACAGTGAAAAAAGAAAAAACCGATCCTACATTCCCAGAGCTAACTTTTGAATATCAGGTTTTCAAGGAGCAGAATATGTTTCAAGAGTATTGGAAAGATAATGAGGGAAATGCTTTCTCCCTACCCCCTGCTTCTGAATCTGTAGACCTCAGAGAAAGGAGAAACTTATTCAATACTTTCTTTGATTTTTAGGACAGCCTGGGATCTCTAAGCACTCCATAGGCAGTAACTTTTTTGGAGAGTGCCCATTAGACACTCTTTCTTTGTACAATTTGGACAGATGATATAAAGAGATGCAATGTCATTTTAACCAGATTTGTCAGGAGGGAGCATGAAATCATTCATTTAGAGTAGATAGGGAAAGGGTCAATGACTTTAAAAAGAAGATAATGCTAGGGAGCAGAGAAAGGAATAAACACATTATCCTATGTGCTGCTCTTGATGATTTAAAGGAAAACATGGAAGCGTGTTTAACATATATAGCACACGGAGAACTTCTCTGGAACTTTCAAAGGCCTGCAGAAGTAATCAAGAGATGAGAATCAACTCCAGTTTTGTAGGAGACTTCCAAGTTTGTTCTCAGTTGAACAAAGTGAGTTTAAGAGAATCAGGACCAGTTTCTTGCTGATTATAGTAATGTACCAGCCACAGGGCCTTTAGTTAGACTTTTAGAGATATAAGCTCGAGGATATGTTCTTGTAAACACAAACCTGTAATTTTCAAAAGATCAGAAGCACTATTAAGTTGCTAAGGCATCAGACACAGTAGTTTGTTTTCATAGCACAAGATTAAATGCAAAGGAAGAAGTCAACGTGAATCATGTTTCTATTTAGGTCATTAAGGAAGTGGAAGAACAGGCTGGGCACAGAGGCTCATGCCTGTAATCCCAGCACTTTGGGAGGCCAAAGTGGACTGATCACAAGGTCAGGAGTTCAAGACCAGCCTGGCCAACATGGTGAAACCCTATCCCTACTAAAAATACAAAACTTAGCTGGGCGTGGTGGTGAGTGCCTGTAATCCCAGCTACTTGGGAGGCTGAGGCATGAGAATCGTTTGAACCTGGGAGGTGGAAGTTGCGGCGAGCTGAGATTGCACCATTAAACTCTAGCCTGAGCAACAAGAGTGAAACCCCAGCTCAAAAAAAAAAAGAAAGAAAGAAAGAAAGGGGAAGAATAGAAACAAACCTGAAAACTCACGGAATTTAGAAAGCAACCAACTTTATGTGTAGGAGAGCCTGTTCTGTGACAAGACAAACAGAGAAAAGAATTACCTAATGCATTGGGCTAAACATTGGCACCAAAGACATGCCCATATTCAAATCATGGATTCTGTAAATGTGATCTTATGTGGCACAAATGGTGGTTAATTAAGGATCTTGAGGCAAGGAGTTTATTTTTCATTATCCAGGTGAGCCGAAAACGCAGTTATGTGTATCCTTGTAAGAGAGACGACAAAGGAGTGTCAACAAGCTCACACAGGGGAGAAAGCCATGTATTAGATGTAATGATTAGACTGATGCAGCCACAAGCCAAGGAACACCTGGAGCCATTAGAACTAGTAAAGCAACGAAAAACTCCACCTAGAGCCTTCAGAGGGAGCATGACCCTGCTGGCATCCTGATTTCTGACTTCTGCCCTCCAGAACTGTGAGAGAATGAATTTC